GAAGCGTTTGAGAGAGGCGGGGCATAGAGGACCTACAATAATCTACAGTATTTGAAAAATAATGTTTTTTTTTAACGTTAAAGCATGTCAACATATTCTGTTACACCAAATACACAAAATAATAATCTTTAAAAAAGCATCATATGACCCCTTTAATATTTGAGCTCAGCTGCCATGTTCTGTGTTCCTCCAGGTTGAAGTCGTCTCTGGTGAAAGCCCGTTTGCAGCGGATGCAACTGACCAACATCAGGATGTCGTATTAAAGTCCTTCGTGTGTCTTGAAGGAGAAGTCGTCGTTCAGGATGAAGCTGTAATGTCAGAGGAGTGTGTTCTCGTCAGGCGGCTGGTGCTGGAAGAACATGACCCGGATGACCCGGATGAGGAGAGTCATGCTGATCATCACAGCAGCCCGTGTAGTGCTTCGTCTGCTCTGTGTCTGGAGGAAGAGGAAAACATCGCAGTCGGGTCCCTCGTGTGCTTGGCTGGAGAGGTCTCTGATGAATCCCTTCTCATGAAGGCATCAGGAGCCCACAATACTCCTGTTTGTAAAGTGAGCGGCCATTCTTACTGTATCCGTGCATCTTTATGTGAAGAGCCTGAGAATACAGTGAACCTAGACGATCACAATCAAGCTGATCTCTCTGAAGGACGGCGTGGAGTATCTCGCGGGGAAGGAGAGATCACATTTAAAGGCTTGTGTTGCTCTGGGGGTGAAATAGAAATTGCTGCTCTATCCGGTGTGTCAGAAATGTCTGCGCTTCTGGAGAATCTTACAGAGGAACAACGCCGGTCTTGCTTGAGCGACATCAGTGGAAATGATGCTCAGAGCTTCGCTGCTTTGACGCCTGGAAGCAAGCGCGACGATCACATTTACTGTCGTGCTGAGGAAAAGTCACGAGTCCTGAATATACCTAACGCTGGAGACGAGACTCGGCTTTCCTCGGCGGAGCTTTTGGAGGAGTCTGAGAGCCCAGTCGGTCGCTCGGCGTCGCCTCGTGGAAACATTGCAGAAAACCATCATGAAACTGAAGCATCAAGCACCGCTGCTAATCAGGAGTCAAGCCGACGTGAAAGTAATATGGCAAGTTCAGACGCTGTAAGCAGCAGTGATGTCTCTTCGGTCACGACTAAACGCCGTGAGCTGCAGTTTCTGCCAGAAAGCGATGAGGCGGTTTCACATTTTGAGGAAAACCTTTATCCTCAAGGTGCCTTTTGTGAAAACGTTGGCCTAGAAACCAGCGTTCTCAAAGATACGACACCGGGTTTAAAGGACGAGGAGATCGAAGTTATGCGGCTCTGTGATAGCTCTGCTGAAGCCGTCTCTGTTCTTCCCAGTGTGATTGCTCTGACAGGTTCCTGCACTCCAGAGACGCCCAGCTTAAACGGGAGTGTGCTGCGTGACCGGACCGTGGAGAACCCAGTGAGCCATCTGTGGCCGGAGAGTCCCATGCCGCCTCCGCTGTTGAACTCCACATCCCTGGCTAATGATTTTGGCTGCACACCTGTTCCTCAAGACCCAGCCAAGGACGTGGAACTGAAAATGGCTTGTGCTCAGAAGTTGTCGAACGGCCCTCAGGTTTTAGGCAGCGGGCCCCTACAGGAGCAGCTCAGACAGATGGCTGAATTGTTGATGGTTGCGTCGGGGAAAGTGTATGCTCGTGCTCCAGCAGCAGTGAATCATCACAGTGCTTTAGTGGGCACTTCTCCGGTAGAGATGCGTAGCGTGTGCGTCTGGAGCACCCCGGTTCAGCAGATGGAGCGGAGCACTAATACTTCAGCAGCGGTGGAGATATTACAGACGGTTGAGGTTTCTGATGCCTGCACTTCAACGGACTCTCTGCTGTGGAAGTAAGTAAGATAAACCGATAAGCACGAGCTGTTTTCTCTCTGTTGGTGTGGTCTACATCGTCTCTGTGTGACTCCGTCTTTGCAGCCTGACTCCTGGAAATCTGGAGCATCTGTCTCGATCGGAGTTGGAGCAGAGATTGACTTCCACGCTCGTCATGGTGGAGGTGCTTTCCCAGCAGCTCACTTCTGCACGGGCTCATAATCCGAGCAAAGACGCTTCTCCATCAGACCTCAGAGAGAAACTCATCCAGACGGACCACACTGAGCTCAGACAGGTGAGATGCCAAGCACTTCCGGCAGGTCTAGGTGATATTTCAATATGCAAATTAAAGGGAACGTTCACACGAAAATTAACATTCTGTCGTCATTCACATCGGATGAGTTTCTTTATTCTGTTGAACGCAGAAGAAGATATTTTGAAGAATGTTGGTAACCAAATAGTTGACGGTAGCCATTGACTCCCATAGTATGGGAAACCCATTTGTATTCAATCATAAAACAAAATCCAGAAATTTGGAGGAAAAAATAGACCTCGATTTAAAAAGTACCTTACTCTTGAGTTGTTTACTTTTAAATAAACAAGTCATGTTTACGTTCATTCTCGATGTCTAACAAACACGTGGACTGCATTTCCTTCCGCATTAGTGGTGTGAAATAATTAGATAAATATCGATATAGAATGATGGAAAATATATTGTGGTGATAGTTTTTTTTGATGGTGTTGCCCAGACCTAATCTCCAGTGATTTTACTGACCTCACTGAAGGCTCAAAGCTGTGCTGAGCTTCAATCAGAACATTTTGATGTTAAAGACGGCTGTGCAGAAATCATTTTGGAAGAAAAACTGGTTTTGATTTTCTTTATCCTGTCTTTATTTGCCAGAATGGGACATACCGAGATTTGTATGGCATTGCCCTGGAGCGAATTCAGAGTCTCGAGCATGATCAGGAGCTTCTTCACTGTTTATATGACAGCATTCAAGCAATGAGGATTGGGATGGTGAGAGATGCCCTACATTTAATGATCTTAAGTTTTCAAAGTTGCACATGTTACAGGCCTGAAGTGTTAGGATTCTTCTACAGAATTCGTTTAAGTCTAGCACAGAGGATGCCATCTTCAAGATGAAACGGATTGGAAATACAGTTCATGTTGATCAGGAAACTTTATCTAGACAGGTAAGTCACTATTTAATTTCCAATGCATTTTGTCAGCTAAGATATGTGTCAAGAAATCACGACTCCTAATACGTGTGTGTGTTATGTAGGTCAGTCAGATGAAGTGTCTTTATGGGAGGTACAAGGAAGCGCTCCGGAGGATGGAGCAGAAGATGAAAGACATGAGACATCGCATGGACGAGTCTCTAGAGCAGAAAGAAGCGGTGAGAGGACATTTCTCTTGGTTTTAAGAACACAAGATATTTTTATTAAAAGGTTAATTCACCCAAAAAAAGTCACTATTTAATTTCCAATGCATTTTGTCAGCTAAGATATGTGTCAAGAAATCACGACTCCTAATACGTGTGTGTGTTATGTAGGTCAGTCAGATGAAGTGTCTTTATGGGAGGTACAAGGAAGCGCTCCGGAGGATGGAGCAGAAGATGAAAGACATGAGACATCGCATGGACGAGTCTCTAGAGCAGAAAGAAGCGGTGAGAGGACATTTCTCTTGGTTTTAAGAACACAAGATATTTTTATTAAAAGATGTGAAAATGTGCTGTTAATTTACTCATCCTCAGGGGTAGGTGACGGCTATTCATTTTGTGTTCCCTGATGTGCTTTTTTTGACTCTTAAAGTGACGGTACCCATCACTGACTTGCATTTTATGAATCACCAAGGCTGACCGTTTCAGATAAAAATCTTGGATGGCCTGAGGAGGAGTAAACTAGCAGCGCATTTTCAGTTTTGGAGAAACTATCCCTTTAACTATCCCTGTTGATCTTTGCCTCCTGTTCATTTGTCTTTGTGTGCAGGCCTTCAGCGTAACGCAGCAGTTGAGGGACTCGCATGCTGCTCAGGTGGCAGAGCTAGAGCACACTGTCGGGTCTCACCAGGAACTGATGTCAGCCCTTAAACTGGCTTACCCATCACTGGTCAGTTTGCATCCCGACCTCAGTTTATATGAAAATATAAGGTTCCTGCTAGCTTAGTAGTGACCACAGACCCTCTGGAAGTGAAGTCTTGCTTGAGTGTGTGTGTGTAATGTCCTTGTATTCTGAGTGAGTTGTGTGAACTTCCCAAGGTTGAACTGAGCAAGTCATACATGGAATCCATCAGTGCAGCAAATGAGCATTTGAGAAGGAAGCACGAAGATCACGTGAGCTTGTTAGCGGAGGTGAGACTTTACATCTATCGTGTTTAGATACTGAAATGAAAAGAACATTCAAAGTTTGCTAATTGAAACTTTAAGTATGAAAGTAACACATTTGTGTCCTTTCCTCCATGGGAAGCTGAGGAAGGCTCAAGAGCTGATCCAGAGGATAAACCCAGTGCTTCACCAGCTCCATCAGAGGACTGCGACTGCCGTGGAGAGCAGCAAGCAGCATCAGGCAATGAGAGACAGAGCCGTGGAAGAGAGAGACCTGGTTAGACATTTACCACTGAAAGTTCTCTCATTATTTATTCATTCCCCGTTTACATGTCTGCCAAACCTTAAAGGAACCCAAAATAAACGGTTAGAAAAAATATATTTTGAAACCATATGTGACCCTGCAGCACAAAAGCAGTGTTAAGTCGCTGGGGGATATTTGTAGCAATAGCCAACAATACATTGTATGGGTCAAAATTATACATTTCTCTTTTATGCCAAAAATCATTAGGATATTAAGTAAAGATCATGTTCCATGAAGATATTTTGTAAATCTCCTACCGTAAATATATCAAAACTTAATGTTTGATTAGTAATATGCATTGCTAAGAACTTCATTTGAACAACTTTAAAGATGATTTTCTCAATATTTAGATTTTTTTTTGCACCCTCAGATTCCAGATTTTCAGATTCAGGTGTCCCAATTCGATTTCGATTCGCAAGCTCTCGATTCGATTCTTGATTTTTTTTTATTACATTCAGTGAATATAGTTTTAATACAAATGCTATTGATATTTCTAAAAAATGAACCGTAAACATCAGTTTACAAATAGTGAATTAATAAAAAGAAATTAAGAACCACATGCCTGTATTTTAAACCTATACTTTTTTTTTTTGTATAGGGTCCTTTTTTAAACAATAATAGGGCCCTATAAAATGTTAATTTTTCTGGTACTCAGATAAAGGCATAAAACACTAATTTAATTTATCCTAATCAAATAAAAATTAAACCCTTTTATTTTTTGGCAAACGAACTGCTGCACAACAGATGTTTACTGTTAAAATCACATCAACAAAAATTTATGTGATTATTCCTTTAAAAATAAAGATTTAAGTCTTCAGACCGCTAAGTAGTAATATATTCTGACAGTTTAACGTTAAACTAAACTTTT